TCTCTTTGTCGCTGGCCCTCCACTTTACCAACCATGATGCCCTTCTCCAGGGACTGGATGCTCCTGACAGCATGTCCAAAGTACATGAGATGAAGCCTCCCATCCTTACCTCTAAGGAGCATTTGACTGTACTTCTTCCAAGATAGATTCGTTGTTTCTTTTGGCAGTCCGTGGTACTTTAAATACCCTTTGCTGCACCCTAATCCCAAAGCATCTATTCTTCTTTGCCCTTCCTTATTTGCTGTCCAACTTTCACACGCATATGAGGCAATTTGAAATACCATGGCACACGTTAGTCCTCAAAGCTATCGCTGTGCTTTTCAATATTTTAAGGAGATCTTGTGCAGCAGATTTACCCAGCATGATGTGTGGTTTCATTTCCTGGCTGCTGCTTCCGTGAGCACTGATGTGGATCCAAGCAAGACCAGATCCTTGAGAATTTCAGTCTTTTCTCCATTGATCATGATGTTACCAGTGACCCAGTTTGAGGATCTGGGTCTTTACATTGAGTTGGAACAGCAGCAGTGCCTGGGAATCGCATTGTGAAATGTGCTGTGGGCATTCAGGAGCCTTGGGGAAGGGAGGCGAGAAAGTCCATGAATGGGATTCCATGATGATACTTAGGAGTGCAGACAGCTTCTGCTAAGTCTTAAAAGATGAAGAAAGGACACGGGTGAGTGGGGACTCCCTTCCCCATCAGTTGCTGAGAACTGGCATCTTAATTTTTATACTGCTACCTACATTGCAGAGGCATTTTGGCAAGGAAAAGGCATAGATCCAGAAATTCTGTGCACTAGTTAAAAGACAGGTTCGTGGGCCTCAAACCCAGCAATTCTGATGCAATGGCTTTATCTTAGGGCCCAGGAATCTGCATCCTGATGATTTTGCTGCATGTGGTTGGGCCCCACACTCTAGTAAACTCTGACTTAAAGACTGTAGCAGTCTCTCTTGTCCCCAAGTCCCCGGTGGCTTACCGCTTGACCTCTAGTTTTGAGGCCCTCCCTTGTCTCCTTCGAGTCTTCCCTTCGCCTGCGAAGTCTGCTTCCAGTGCTTATAGACAGTACCACTCCCACCTGAGCCGGATTTGGACACCTGGCCACGTGTAACGGAAAGAGATGGGCTCAGTCCATCAGGTAGAATAACAACTCAGTCACTTCATATGCATGCAAGAGCAGGGCAATGAATAAAGACGAGCGGGGCAGAACTGATGCATGTGAATCATGCTGTTGGCGAAGACTACTGAATATGTCATGGGTGGCCAGAAAAACAGCACATCGGCCTTGGCAAAGGGACAGCAGCATGCTCCTTAGACGGGAGAGGGAAGATTTAGCCTTCTGTACCTTAGATCTACTCCCCGGAGGGGTGAGTCTCGGGAGGACAGCATGATTGGTCGGGGATCAGCGAAAAGAGAGGCGCTCAATGAGACGGACTGACACAGTGTCTGCAGCAATGTCCTCAATCCTAACAATTGTGGGGATGGTGGAGTCGGGTGGTATGTTGTTCGGCTGCACATAGGTCCATCATGAGTCAGAACCAAGGTGACAGCACCTGACCGCTACAAGAACAACCATTCGACTAGGAGCAGTGCTGTCCAATAGCAGGGCCTGCTTTTGTATTCAGTTGGCTTGTTGCTTGTTTCTTTCTGGTTCTTTTGTTGGAGCAGTGGGTTTGGTTTGTGTGTATGGTTCTGAACGCTTGATGTTTCCTGAATTGAAGGCCATTGTGAAGGTGAAGCCTTTCCCCAGTTTTACACCGGATCCAGATGATGAGTCTTACTGTGTGAGTCTGGGTAGACTAGAGAAACAAATCCATGGACACACATATGTGTATAAGAAAGAGATTTATATATGAGAGCAATTGGACATTGAGAAAACATCCCAGCCCAGTCCAGATCAAGTCCTTAAGTCTGATATTAGCCCATATGCCTGATACCAATCTATAAAGTCCTCCTCAGACTCCCGATACACATGCAATGACGCCGAATGTAGAAGATCACAGGCCGGTGGGTAGAAAGTCCTTGGATCCAGTGGCACTGGAAACATCTCAGCACTGTCAGGGGTCTCTGCATCAGGGTGGGTCCATGTTGTCTTGTCAGCTGCTATGTCTCCTCGGGTGTGAGCAGAGCCTCCCACCTCCAAGGAGGAAATACTGGAATTCCCAGAATCCCCAGGGGAAGGCTATGCCCACACAGAAGCCTCATTGGCTATGACCTGATTGACAAGCTAGGCTCCACCCCTACATGCTTAATCCTAAATTGACAATTATATAACCACCACGCTTACTGACCTTACTGATGAGTCAGATGGCATAACCCCCGTGCTGACTCTGTGCCCAACTCTGCTGTATGCTTTGCTCTGTCCCTGCTGCTTTCTAACTCCCCGCTGAGGGAGAAAGGTTTACCATCGCCGCTTTACTTGACGGCACCTAACAACTTTATAATCGCAGAAACTGGCGTGATCTTGGCAGTTCCAGCCCACATGCATGGGTGAGCAGAGCACAGGACAATATTAGCACTGGAATTTTCCTGAGAGCCTTGGTAATTGAAGAGGTTGGTCCCTCTAAAGTTGTGTCGTTGCCTTCCATGCCATTTCCTCCTGAGGGGGCACTGGTGCTTTCAAAGTACAGACCTTGCGGTTTGCAGCCCAATGCATGATCACTACGTCTCCAGCTCGATCAGTCAGAGGAGACTTGCCCCGTCATAGGGGTTTTAAAG